ACTGTTATATTAATAAATTAAGTCTTTAAACTACTGTCTCTTCGTTTGACTTAATTCAATTATACTAATATAACTGCATGTATGGTGACGTCTCGTCACCACTCATTGCGCGCGTCTTGCGGCGATTGGTGGGTTGATATCATCACGATATCAACCAATGAACAGACCCTTCTGGTCGACCCTTCAATATCACCGCTTCGGTGATATTGTTTAAAGAATATCCATCTTTATATTCTTTATTGTCACTTTCCTTAAGTGACAATATTATGTAACGGGCTGCCCCGTTACAGTTTCGGGAAATCACCCAAAATCAAACTCAAGACCAACAAATCGATCCTTTCTGGGCGTCACGGTGAAAAATAAATGAATCGTGGCATTCGTGTCGAGGTTTCGGCATCCTTTCCGTACACAAGGGTCTTCGCTGGTGGTGACTTACACGCACAGACTCACACCTTGACAGCACACAGTAACACATTTGAATAGATTTTAAATGAACAAGTGTCGTCAGTTGCGATCCATGTGCATTTATTTCGCCGCAGTATACATACAAAAACATCTCTGCATTCCCTGACCTTGGCGCATGTTGCACAGAATGGCCCAACCAGACGTCCAACGTGCTCGGTTCTCCTTCCTGATGAGGCTCGTAGCTACTACCGACTGATCGATCGACTCGAAGATGGGAAAAGCGTATACCTTCTGTCTCGTCTGTCACGTTGTACCACCGCGATCTAACCGGACCCAACAGGACGGCGGTGCACCTCACTCATCTTCTTCTCTCGTGGCCATTGGGCCGAGTCCCACCTCTTCACACAAATCCACGTCCCTATCCATGAAAAGCCCTGTCAAGGGGTGTAGACAGCACTGCGTCGCGTGCATTGTTTGTCGGCTATGTACAACGCTCGGTGCAGAAACGCGCACGGTTGAGAAACTGCTCTTGGCCATACAATTGCATCCATCTTCACCACCCCCATCTTGACCACCTCAGCGTCCTTCGTTCGACGAGACCTTCGGTACGACGTGCGTATCATGCACTCGGCGAGACACAAGGCTGCGTGTCAGCGTGTGACCAAGTCTGTGAAAGTGAAAGAGGACCAAAGGTAATGCTTAGATAATCTGTATGCATGGAAGACGTGCTCACAAGCGCGCTGTAGCCCTGTTATAGTGCAACACTGTCGAATATGTTGCGGTGGCATTCTCTAGGATCCAGTTATAGGACTGAGACCGACCCGACCTTGAAGAAGCAAATAACGGTTGACAAACCAGGCCATGGCTGTCACAACCTCTAATAGGCCCAGGAGAACGGAACAGCAGATGCTGCAGAACTTGTGAGCAGTCGAAGAGACAGGAGACTTCCTGGTCGAGTGGTTGAAGCAACTTGACACTAGAGGTGGCCAGGACCGACGCAGGATGAGTCGTTGACACAGAGAAATAACGTGTGTGTGGTGCTTGCTTTCTGCTCAACATGTGCCAGCATCGCCACCAGGCTGCTACCAGAAGTTTTTCGTGACATTTTAACTTGATACTTGCAGAACACCACATAAGTCAGTCGACTTTGTAGACCGTGGCGACTTTTGCACGCGCGTCACACCCGACTACACTTTGCAGACAGTGGCAACGGTGATGCTGCTTCGGTGCCGCGATGATGGCGCTACCCATGGCTGTATCTGACGAAAAGAAAGAAGCTGGACGTTGACCATGGCAAGCATCTAGTCGTACACGATTCGTGGCGGAACGTTGTCATACAAAAGGAGGCGCTGGCAATCTATTGCATGATGATGCAGCTTCCACAGTATCTAAACCACGGGAAATAGAGTTAGGAACGGATCTCATACTTCCCCACTTGTGCGAAACCTGGTCAGCAGTCTGGACATCAAGTACCTTGTCAGCCGTCTGAAGCTCCGAAACAGCGGGGCAGATACCTTGTCTTATTCTGACTGCTTCTGGATTCACTTGTTGGAGCGATGATGTTTATTGTGTTGCGACCGTCGGCTTTGTGACCTGATTAACAGACGAGCCTTCCCGTATCGTCAGAACAATCGGATCAGGGAGACCTCGTCGAGGTAATCATATCTCCGTCCATCGGTCGAGCTCAAAAATTGTCGTAGGGACCACTATCAATGATTGTGTCAATAGAGGTGGGAAAGGGACAAGCGTGGAATCTACCACCAGCAGTCCGCTGCTTGAAGGTCTAATCTCGTTTCATGTCTCGATCCCATTCGAGAATTCGACACGCATCCCGCAGCCAATCGGCCACTACGTTCCTTTGTCCTCTTTACAACTAACTACGACAGAGATGCGCCTCACTAGTCTTTATGTGGCCGTTGTTGTGGCTTCTCTTCACGCAAGCGGCTCTGCAGTCTCCACGTCCAAGATTGTCGTCGCGACCATGTCCGAGAACAAGACACCTCCTGCAATTGTTTCCTCTCTCCGAACGAATGAGGAGCGGAATGTAGATGCTGACGCGAAGCACGATTTGGGTGAGGCAAGGTCCAATAGCAAGATCGTACAGAAACTCCTTACCATCTCTAAAAGATGGTTCAAACTGATGAAACGTACTCCTAAAGACCCGGGTGAGCGGGTGAGGCAATCGGACAGACTCGCGCACCACCAGCTGAGGCAAAAGAAGTATGGTGGACCCAAGGTCGGCTGACCTAACGTCAGCAATCCCAAGGTATCGTACTGCAGCTGCTGGAAGGTAAGCTGCTCCAAAGCGGACTATAAGCATTGCTCCAACGATCATACACGCGGGTGGTGACTTACACGCACAGACTCACACCTTGAAAGCACACAGTAACACATTTGAATAGATTTTAAATGAACAAGTGTCGTCAGTTGCGATCCATGTGCATTTATTTCGCCGCAGTATACATACAAAAACATCTCTGCATTCCCTGACCTTGGCGCATGTTGCACAGAATGGCCCAACCAGACGTCCAACGTGCTCGGTTCTCCTTCCTGATGAGGCTCGTAGCTACTACCGACTGATCGATCGACTCGAAGATGGGAAAAGCGTATACCTTCTGTCTCGTCTGTCACGTTGTACCACCGCGATCTAACCGGACCCAACAGGACGGCGGTGCACCTCACTCATCTTCTTCTCTCGTGGCCATTGGGCCGAGTCCCACCTCTTCACACAAATCCACGTCCCTATCCATGAAAAGCCCTGTCAAGGGGTGTAGACAGCACTGCGTCGCGTGCATTGTTTGTCGGCTATGTACAACGCTCGGTGCAGAAACGCGCACGGTTGAGAAACTGCTCTTGGCCATACAATTGCATCCATCTTCACCACCCCCATCTTGACCACCTCAGCGTCCTTCGTTCGACGAGACCTTCGGTACGACGTGCGTATCATGCACTCGGCGAGACACAAGGCTGCGTGTCAGCGTGTGACCAAGTCTGTGAAAGTGAAAGAGGACCAAAGGTAATGCTTAGATAATCTGTATGCATGGAAGACGTGCTCACAAGCGCGCTGTAGCCCTGTTATAGTGCAACACTGTCGAATATGTTGCGGTGGCATTCTCTAGGATCCAGTTATAGGACTGAGACCGACCCGACCTTGAAGAAGCAAATAACGGTTGACAAACCAGGCCATGGCTGTCACAACCTCTAATAGGCCCAGGAGAACGGAACAGCAGATGCTGCAGAACTTGTGAGCAGTCGAAGAGACAGGAGACTTCCTGGTCGAGTGGTTGAAGCAACTTGACACTAGAGGTGGCCAGGACCGACGCAGGATGAGTCGTTGACACAGAGAAATAACGTGTGTGTGGTGCTTGCTTTCTGCTCAACATGTGCCAGCATCGCCACCAGGCTGCTACCAGAAGTTTTTCGTGACATTTTAACTTGATACTTGCAGAACACCACATAAGTCAGTCGACTTTGTAGACCGTGGCGACTTTTGCACGCGCGTCACACCCGACTACACTTTGCAGACAGTGGCAACGGTGATGCTGCTTCAGTGCCGCGATGATGGCGCTACCCATGGCTGTATCTGACGAAAAGAAAGAAGCTGGACGTTGACCATGGCGAGCATCTAGTCGTACACGATTCGTGGCGGAACGTTGTCATACAAAAGGAGGCGCTGGCAATCTATTGCATGATGATGCAGCTTCCACAGTACCTAAACCACGGGAAATAGAGTTAGGAACGGATCTCATACTTCCCCACTTGTGCGAAACCTGGTCAGCAGTCTGGACATCAAGTGCCTTGTCAGCTGTCTGAAGCTCCGAAACAGCGGGGCAGATACCTTGTCTTATTCTGACTGCTTTTAGATTCACTTGTTGGAGCGATGATGTTTATTGTGTTGCGACCGTCGGCTTTGTGACCTGATAAACAGACGAGCCTTCCCGTATCGTCAGAACAATCCGATCAGTGAGACCTCGTCGAGGTAATCAAGTCGCCGCCCATCGATCGAGCTCAAAAATTGACGAAGAGACCACTGGCAGAGCTTTCTTACGCAGCAAAGACTTGCGCGAATATGGCGAGGCGCTGTTGTATAGAACATTCGACGCTTGGCGCAGAGAGAAAACAAAGACTACAAATATAGCGCACTTTTCATTGTGGTCGAATCGACTGTTGTTGCTGTATCGATGCACTTGACGCCGATCGATGCAATCGATAGCACTCAGTCAGTCTGCTTTCATGCAGCCTCTTGTTGCTCGGCACTGTCAGGAGCTGCGTGACCCTCTGAGATACAGCACAATAATCGGCACAACTGTGCTCTTGGAGGTATGTAAGAGAGTGGACAGCGCAGATATTGTGACAGCTATTCCTGTGGTCATTATAAGGACAGACAAAAGCTACGCCTATGTGATTGAAAGTAAAATAGCGATGCAGTGCGTGACCACAAAATGGCCTCACGCGCGATCCGACAGTCGTGTTTGCTCCCGCGAATTTTGGCAGAACAATCATGGAACCTCTATATAAGCATATTCCAGGTTTGCGCTGTCTTTCTCGTTGAGTCCCGTCCACGGATACTTTTTCATCTGACACGGACGCAAACTATGGACCAGATGAAGATCGTGATCAGCGAGGCTGGTGACAAAGTGGCAGGCGCTGCGAGCGACGCCAGCAAAAAGTTGGCGACTCTAACTGGCGACAAGAAAAAAGCGTTTCCAGTCGAAGCGGCAGTGAGCGAACCGCCGGCTGACTCGATTCATGGGAGCACATGCCTTAGCCTAACGAAGAAACAGCGTCTGACCGGTTTTGTGTCGTGCTTTGTGCTCGGCTATCTCGTGAATTTTGGGGTACGCTTTTTTCCGCTTTTTTCGTACATTCGCCAGGAGAGGTAGAGCGTGGGAGCTAACGAATATGAGGGGATGGGGTCTGTTGCTTTTTATATGATTCGTTTTTTTGCGTTGTGGTAGTCAACGTTTGCCCTGATTCTGAGCTCCAATAATGGAGCCAAGTTTGGCGTCACGTACACGTTGGGCAATATCATTTCGCTCTGCGGGTACTGGCTTTTGTTGTCAACGGTGAAGTGCGGCCACGTGTATTCCCTCTTGCTAATGCTCTGTAACGATGACGTGTCATGTCAACAAGATCGGGGTTCCTGGTTGGTCCTAAGCAGCAGGTCAAGCTCATGTTCAAGCCCATCCGTCGAATCGCGACAATCATTTATCTGGCGATGATTCTGGTGGTTATCACCGTGGCTATTGCGGTACGGACGATGATGCAACAGATGTGCACATACGTTTCGTGAGATGGTTGATTTGTTGTATTCTGTAGGCACCGCGGTTCGGACTAGTGGTGCTTTTGCTAGTATTCATCCAGTTTGTGGCGGCTCTCTGGTGCGAACGTCAACGATCGCTTGATGAGGGTATTCTCGTCTCACCAAATGCGAATGTTGCTTGCAGGTATTCCGCCAGCTATATTCCGTACGGACGCAAGGTCCTTGCAGCCATCGCGCAAAAGCTGTGCGGTGCAGCTGTGTAAGAACGCAGCACAGAATATTTCGTAACGTCTACCTCACGTGTAACATGCATACAGCGCGCATGTGAGCACGTCTTCCATGCATACAGATTATCTGAGCATTACCTTTGGTCCTCTTTCGCTTTCACAGACTTGGTCACACGCTGACACGCAGCCTTGTGTCTCGCCGAGTGCATGATACGCACGTCGTACCGAAGGTCTCGTCGAACGAAGGACGCTGAGGTGGTCAAGATGGGGGTGGTGAAGATGGATGCAATTGTATGGCCAAGAGCAGTTTCTCAACCGTGCGCGTTTCTGCACCGGGCGTTGTACATAGCCGACAAACAATGGACGCGACGCAGTGCTGTCTACACCCCTTGACAGGGCTTTTCATGGATAGGGACGTGGATTTGTGTGAAGAGGTGGGACTCGGCCCAATGGCCACGAGAGGAGAAAATGGGTGAGGTGCACCGCCGTCCTGTTGGGTCCGGTTAGATCGCGGTGGTACAACGTGACGGACGAGACAGAAGGTATACGCTTTTCCCATCTTCGAGTCGATCGATCAGTTGGTGGTAGCTACGAACCTCATCAGGAAGGAGAACCGAGCACGTTGGACGTCTGGTTGGGCCATTCTGTGCAACATGCGTCAAGGTCAGGGAATGCAGAGATGTTTTTGTATGTATACTGCGGCGAAATAAATGCACATGGATCGCAACTGACGACACTTGTTCATTTAAAATCTATTCAAATGTGTTACTGTGTGCTTTCAAGGTGTGAGTCTGTGCGTGTAAGTCACCACCCGCGTGTATGATCGTTGGAGCAATGCTTATAGTCCGCTTTGGAGCAGCTTACCTTCCAGCAGCTGCAGTACGATACCTTGGGATTGCTGACGTTAGGTCAGCCGACCTTGGGTCCACCATACTTCTTTTGCCTCAGCTGGTGGTGCGCGAGTCTGTCCGATTGCCTCACCCGCTCACCCGGGTCTTTAGGAGTACGTTTCATCAGTTTGAACCATCTTTTAGAGATGGTAAGGAGTTTCTGTACGATCTTGCTATTGGACCTTGCCTCACCCAAATCGTGCTTCGCGTCAGCATCTACATTCCGCTCCTCATTCGTTCGGAGAGAGGAAACAATTGCAGGAGGTGTCTTGTTCTCGGACATGGTCGCGACGACAATCTTGGACGTGGAGACTGCAGAGCCGCTTGCGTGAAGAGAAGCCACAACAACGGCCACATAAAGACTAGTGAGGCGCATCTCTGTCGTAGTTAGTTGTAAAGAGGACAAAGGAACGTAGTGGCCGATTGGCTGCGGGATGCGTGTCGAATTCTCGAATGGGATCGAGACATGAAACGAGATTAGACCTTCAAGCAGCGGACTGCTGGTGGTAGATTCCACGCTTGTCCCTTTCCCACCTCTATTGACACAATCATTGATAGTGGTCCCTACGACAATTTTTGAGCTCGACCGATGGACGGAGATATGATTACCTCGACGAGGTCTCCCTGATCGGATTGTTCTGACGATACGGGAAGGCTCGTCTGTTAATCAGGTCACAAAGCCGACGGTCGCAACACAATAAACATCATCGCTCCAACAAGTGAATCCAGAAGCAGTCAGAATAAGACAAGGTATCTGCCCCGCTGTTTCGGAGCTTCAGACGGCTGACAAGGTACTTGATGTCCAGACTGCTGACCAGGTTTCGCACAAGTGGGGAAGTATGAGATCCGTTCCTAACTCTATTTCCCGTGGTTTAGATACTGTGGAAGCTGCATCATCATGCAATAGATTGCCAGCGCCTCCTTTTGTATGACAACGTTCCGCCACGAATCGTGTACGACTAGATGCTTGCCATGGTCAACGTCCAGCTTCTTTCTTTTCGTCAGATACAGCCATGGGTAGCGCCATCATCGCGGCACCGAAGCAGCATCACCGTTGCCACTGTCTGCAAAGTGTAGTCGGGTGTGACGCGCGTGCAGAAGTCGCCACGGTCTACACAGTCGACAGCCTTTTTGTCATGCGCTGCTTTCTGTTGTCTGTCTGGACTGGGGTCTTGGCCACCTCTAGTGTCACGTTGCTTCAGCCATACGACCATGACGTATCCTCTCTCTCTTCTCCTGCTATAATCATGGAAAAGACCAAAGTAGGCTCGGAGTAAATGAAGGAGGCGGACAGTAAGTAGAAGCAAGAGCTGAGAGCAAAGCTCAAGTAGATTTGTGTACGAATCCTATGTGAATTTGTGCGGCTTCTTGTTCACACCGAAAGTGACGAGAGCGATCAGCCGAAGATGACCGAAGACGAGATATTGCGAGGAGTTTGCAAGGCAGGGGAGGAGGGTAGAAACACTATGGACCAATTCAAACGTGGCATCTGTCGCAGGAAGAGACGTTGATACTGAAGATATCAACGTGTGTGTGGCGCCTGATTTACGCTCAACATGTCCCCGCATCGCCACCAGGCTGCTTCCAGAGAGGTTTCCCCAACCTTTTACTTGATGATCGCAGAACGCCACAGCACTCGTCTGTCCTCGACTTGTGGTCGAAGCGAGGTTCGCTCGACAAGACATACTATCAATGACGATAGTGTTTAAGACGCATCCGATGATGCTGCAACTAGCCAAATGGAACATCTCGATCGATAACGCTGTAGTGCTCATTCTGCCTATGCAGTGTGACTTATCACTTGGCGGCCATGAAACGAAGTCGGTGGACGCCCAAGTTGACGACTTGCCAGGGCTAACATTTAGTACGGACAACTTGTAAGAGGAAACACTGTTTGTCACGGAGTAGATGCATGGCAGACAGCATGCTCGTTAGGCGTAAAAACCACGGATTGCAACATACTCCATGCGATAACTTGGCATCTGAAAGGTACGTGTGCGAGACGAGAAGGGCGGTTTTTTCTGTCGGTAATGCTCACATCGATGACCATGCACAGAGCTGGTCGCAGACGCGAAGTAAAGTGTGGCACTAAAGAAACGTGAATGTGATGAAGATGCGATATTGGGCTGATGCAATAACACGCGAGAAACGGTTGCTCTACGCACTAATGTCCACGACCGAAAGCGATGTAAAATCTTCGATTTGCGTCGAAAGACCGATGCGAAGACTAGTCTTGTACGGCGACAAACGACTCCTACTGACAAAAAGCCACTCTGCTCGCCGCCTTGTGTAGACCGTCACCTACAAGTGTTGTATGAGCATGAGGAAGTAAGTCAAGAAACAATGTTCGATACAGTCTGCTTGCCGTTATACCACGAGCTACATTAGCAAATTGCAGCTTTCATGATTACTGTCATTTGCGCTCATCCTGTGATTACTGTCATTCGCGCTGTGACTGACTTCATCGTCCTATGATTACTGTCATTCCCGCTCTGGCTGACTTCATCATCCTGTCGTATGAAGGAAGATACTTTGGATCGAACGATCCATTGACTCGGCCAACTGTCATGCCCATACGCTTCAGCAAAACGATTTTCAACCTCTCAGCTTTTTTTCAGATCACTACAATGTCTACCACTACTGGTTCGCTTTCTACTCTCGTTCGTAAGAGCTAGTCTCTGCACGTGACCACGCCGAGACAATCTCGATGGATAGCTGACGACGCAAATAGGACCTTGACGTCGACGGGTTTTCCGTGTGTTTACGGCATCAATGCTTGTCAATTGGCCAGCCATGTCAGGTATGGTAGCAATCATATCGTGTCACTCAAGTCCTTCATGAACATCACAAGCAAATGCGTTGCTCCCGTGAATAAAATGGGTCCCTTCTGTCCGATCGATCTGACGCGGTCTTAGAAATGTCCACTTCCCCTCTTTCGTACAATAAAATGCAACTGGGTGCGGCTTCGATATAGCAAAAAGTGTGGTCCTTTTTGCTTATTCCATGAACTCTGTGCGTAAAACCGCTATTACTATCGTGCATATTACCTCAGCGAGTCACTTCGAACATAACTACTGGTTGTCCTGCTCTGTATATCCATCCGCCCATGTCATCTGCAGCCCCGTGCCCTCCTCACGTCGACGGAAGACGCGCGTTGCTGCTCCTAGTGCTCAAACTCGCGTTCATCTTCGCTCTCGCTGTTGTGGTCGTGTTGTGGCTTTGCGCCCTCCTCGTCCGTCGCGTTCGCGCGCACGACGCTGCTCGACAGCTCCCGACCTCGACGTTGGACTCGCTCTCAGTATCGAGTTTTTCGTCGCTGCTCGAGCTCCAGCGGTCGCACGAAACGTTTCAGCACGTTTTCGACGTGGAGTTTTCGCTCGCGCTCCTCTGTTTCACCTGCTTTTACGTGCTGAAACAGGTACGTTTCAACTGTGTGCCGAAATGACGAAACCCCGTTTCGACCACTAATCGCACGCGCTATGGTTGGTAATGTCTGTGGTTGACCAGACATTTGCCATTCCCGGCTCCGCTCTGCTCAATGTCTTTGTGGGGTCACTACTGCCCGTGTCAGTGGCTTTTCCACTCGTGTGCACACTCACGACCTGCGGGGCGTCGTGCTGCTATCTGCTGTCGAAGAACTTGGCTTCTGAAGCCATTGTGCTGCATCTAAGTGATCGGCTGCTGCCGGGGCAATTGCTGAAGCTGAGGCAGAAGATTGAGGACGCACGAACGCAAAAGCAGCTGCCGTTCGTGCTGCTGTTCCTGCGCGTGTTTCCATTCACGCCAAACTGGTTCCTCAACCTGGCGAGTCCGTGGCTGCAAGTGCCGTTGAAGCTGTTTGCACCGTCCGTGGCCGTTGGGCTGCTGCCGTACAACTTTATTACGGTCAATGCGGGCGCTATGCTGTCTTCGCTGCGCAGTACGAGCGATCTGCTGGATCCGCGGACGATGGGGTGGCTGGTGCTGCTAGCAGTTGGCATGCTCATCCCGGTGATGTTAAAGAAGCGAGCCAAGCGCCGAGCCGCGGGAGATGCTGACGCGGAGCACGAGCGCCATACTGCAGGCGATTGTACTGGTGTCACCAGCAGCAAGCCAAAGACGGCGTGATGGCGCTGTGCCAGTGGTGTTTAAAAAACAAGTGGGATGCGGAGCTCTTGGGTCGGTAATTATTGGACATGCACTCCTGTTGTTGCTCGTGCGGGCACAAGCAAAGTACAAACGGGTTGGCTTGCGCGTGGAAACATGGGCTAACGTGCAAGACGCTGCAGCCGTTGCGCTGGTTTGTCTTCCGGTTGCCTTCATACGAAGCGCCTGTATGAATCGCCGATTCGATCGACCGATGTGATGATAAGGCTCTCGTCGAGTCACAGTTGTGCTCGCTGCCTCTGCAGCGTGGGTGACCCACATCTTTGATCAAGGACGTGATCGCGCACAATTCGAAGACGCTCATCTTCCAACTCGAGCAATTGTGGATGTTAGTTTTACTTACATCTTCGAACAGCCAGTAACGCAGTTGTCATTCAGCAGCTCTATGCGGTCGTCGTTTATAGCCTGATCGTCTATGATCTGCTCGTTATCGATTTGCCTTCCAGTCAGGACGAAAAACAGTATCAAACAATGCCGCGGCGTGTGTGATGAATATTCAGGACAGAAGACCTCGACCAAGCACGACATGCAATAAGTGTGTCACGCCTCTCGAGTTGCAGCTAACACGAACGTTGTCAAACACCTTGATGAGACAGCGTCATGGACGAGGTAATCATCATCAGCTTCGTGTTGTTGCACGAATGAAGGCAATGTCTCGTGGCGACTGTAACCTTGACACTCACATGCGAAGAAGACCGCAGCATCGCAATGGACTTAGCAACGAGAAACCTGTATGGTCGAGTCGAGTAGCAGTCGCGAGGCGGTGACCTACGCGAATCGAAAGAAAGCGCTGGATAGCTTAAGCGCAAACTCGAATCCGTTTGTTCACGTAAAGCAAGTCACCCTGGAAGGAAGCCAAGTCCTGTAGATGTGTTCGACACAGTAGACGTAAGAGATAAATGATGGTCAGGCTATCCCAGCATCAAGTCCCACACATACATCCAACGCTTGAGCACTCATGAGCTCCCGAAACCTTTGAGCGTGTCAGCAGCACGCACGATCACCAGTCGTGTTGACACTAAGCTGTCGAATGTTGCACATTGTGTTCGAGTATGGTGCCTAGAACAAAGCTGTAACTGTAGGAAGTCGTTTATGCGTTCACGTGTTGCCAGCACAGCGTCCCACCCCATTGTGAGCGCACACTGTACGAGAAACAACACCGCTCAAATGTGTCCAACATCCAGCCAGCTCTGAAGTAGCTTTGGCAGGTGCAATAGTTGGAATGATGCAAAAGAGATCAGCGTCGAGTCTGGTCGAAGAAGGCGAAGGCGCGGGTATGTGACGTACGTGCTTGAGGCATCATGACCACCATATGTGCGCATGGCAACGGTTTCCTTCGTCGTATATGCCGCTTACGACTTCGACATTGGGATAAGTGACTACCCCCACCTGTGCCAGTGATGCTGTACGCGAGTATCATACTGCATTCGGAGAGAGCACAAAGCGCTAGTTGTGGGGAGAAGCGCGCATATCAATGATTCGTCTGCCTTCGGGCAAGATGGCGTTGCGCCGCGCTTCTGATCTGACTGGCCCCTACATAGGACATCTAGCCTCTTTTCTTGGAATACGGATGGCAAACTGGTGAAGAATCCATAATGTGCGTTGACAGGCTTTCGTAGCCATAGCGCGGTCGTCTCTGTGGCCGAGCTCATCCAATGTCACGTGGACCGCCTCCCGCCACACTTCAGCACACGGACCTTTGCATGAGGAGATTTGTAAGGAAGCTCTCGTTGCTTGTCAAGTATACGAACTTGAGCGTGATGCTGAGTCACACAACACCAGCAAACTGTGTTTTGGACGTGGTCTTGTATGGTGCGGATCAAGATATGTAGCGTCGCGTTACATTGGATTCGATATCTGATAATGCGCCGTACGGGGTCGGCTTGATGTGTCAAGAATGCCGTACAGGGACACGATACTCGCATTTCACTGTGCGTGGGACAGCAGCCCATGATCAAGGCACACGCGGCTCGAGAAAGGATAGGTGGCGCCTTACAGATACATTAAACGAGATTTGGCATAGACTGTCACCGGGGCAGCAAAGCTGTGTGGCAACGAGAATTGTGTATCCTGGAAGACAACGCCACTGTATGTGACGTAGTAGCGTTGTTTTCCAGGGTACACATAACATGCGAAGGTCAGTCTGCAGCGTTGTGGCAAACGTCCACAGGATGATGATGATGACAATCGCAGTTCTGCGTTTATTGACCGTCTACTTCGTTGTCGTAGACGCGATAGTACAGCGGGAATTGTCGTATCGTCTCACGAGATTGTTACAGAGGTAAACTGTTTTGACATGCAGAAACACTGTATCATCATGACGAAGGGGCGATGACAAGACTGCAGCTCGTAGCACTACCGATCTGTTTACAGCCACGTCGCACTCTCACTCTACACACTCGCGACGTTGAGACGTCTGGAGAATGTCGCACAATCGGTCAACAACACGGAAACCCTACAACCAACGAGGGTCTCATGTTAAGATACAAGTCGCCGTCAGCCGATAGGCCTGCCTTTTCATGGTGATGAGCACCACTTTGTAACACACTGAGCAGTGACTGGAAGTCGAAGCATTACAAGCTTGAACACGCGCGTCTCCTATTGCTCACGATTTGCCCATCCGTTTCTGTCTTGTGCTTCGCGAAGCAGAGCTGATCGTCTTCCAACTCGTTTCTGATTGGGACGTCTACAACACTTTGACTTTGTGCCTGTCGTCTTCCGATACAACATGCCGTCAAAGTCACTTTCCAATGCATACGGATCTACCAACAGCACTACACATATACTGTCCTCATACAGATGAAGGCAACGCGTAGTTGATATCCAACGTGGGTCCAACGAGAAGACTGCTAATGAGTCGTTCAGTTCATTCTGCCCTACAACTCGCATCTCCATCACGGAATCCGTGCAAATGAATAGGATCTACCAGAGACGCACCAAAACACCGCACGTGAGCTGATTTATCTATTTTCGTCACAAAAAGCGTTTTAAGTGCTGTCAACCCACCCACAACCACGTTAAAAACCAGCTGCACTTTGTTTCCACGACGAAACTCCCCCCTCTGCTCCCTCAGAAAACGATCACGAACACATTTACTTCTCTTCTTCTTTTTCTTCTTCGTTTCTATCCAACATCGTCGGATGTGCACGCGCTGTTAGAAACCTTTCATCGACATGCTCAGCTATAGAAAAATCAGACATCCAGAGCGACGCACGCGTACACTGTAACGCTCCAGTCGCAAGCGGTCCGTCCGTCCGTCCGTTAGGCGTGACACGCCCCGTCCCACTCGATTGAACTTCAAGCGCCGGCAGGTGAGAGACTCTGATCTGCACAATGTAACGACTGCGCACTGACTCTTTTGTGGCAGTAGCGTTTCTATCCCGCCCGTGTTCGTCCACGCTGGACAAGTCGAAAAGCTCTTGTAGCAGTCAGTATTGAAAACCCGTCATGAGATTCTCACGGACCGATATCATTGTCGCGTTGGTGCTGACCCTCCCGCAGATTATGGCGCAGACGCTCGGAGAAAGTGTCGTTGCAGCTAACGACGATGGCGCTGCTTGGCAAACCGATACTGTCCGAGACGGCGCTGGTGGGGGCAGCGGCCATGCAGATGATGCTGATAGGGACATCGGTACTCTCGGAGACAGCGTCGTTGCCGGTAATGACGACGGAGCGGCTTGGGTTACAGACAGTATTGCCGACAGCACTGCTGCCAGTACGACGGCGGACTGGACACACCACGACTACGTGGCCGATCACGCTGAAAAAGCCGACAGTTCCTTTACACCTTCGAACGAAGCTTCGGACGTGGGGACGGTCTCACCTCCAGGCGATTCGACGGCAGTCAACAGTGCCAACAAGACGATGGACGACGGATCTACTGATGATACGACGGATGAGGATACGCCTCGCCAGAGTCCTGCTGCTGAAAGTGGAAGCAGCGAAGCCCCTCGTATTCTTGTTGCAGCTAGTACCGCTCTCATCGCTGTGGCTGTTGCAGCCATGCTCTGGTAGATGAACACACGTGCCTGCTGCAACGCTGCCATTTGGTGCAGTGTTCGCGGGCATGAATCAACATCGTTTGTTTGTTTTTTACATCATGTTTTGTTACCACTACCTCCTGGTTTGCTGCCTCGACTGGCTCCTGCTCATGGACACGTACGTGACCTTTCCTCTGTTTACGCTGGGTGGACACGACTTGTTCGTCCGACAATTGCCTCGCCTTGTCACCCACTAAAGTCGAACGAGTCATGACGGTTGGATGGAAACAAATCTTCATCGTTCAGTGTCTCGACAAACTCCTCTGTATCCACGTGCGGTGTCGACATTGGCGATAAAGTCATCGGAGTCGACACGGATGCCGTGTCATCGTTCTGTCCGCTATGGAGCTGCAGTGACGACTTTCGCTTCCTGTTCAGAGTCCCTTGTTTCTGCTGCGCCTCCCTGTCAACCATCTGTGAAATAACGTCCACCATCTCGGAATCCAAAGGAGCTGCGGACGCACGCAACGCGATCTCGATTAGCTTGGCATGATTCCTCTCTTCGTGCTTGAATTTGCTCTTCAGCTCTTTGCGTTTCCGCGTTGGAAACAGCGTTGCCATCATGGAAAAGTTGGGACCAACCTGGCTCAGACAATAGTAGAACTGTTTCGTCTCCTCCTGACCCCAGCGCTTGCCTGGACCTTTCGAATGAGCAGATTTATAGCGTGAACCTGAGTGTCGCGGCGGCAAGCCCGAAGTTCCCCCGCCGACTCTATTTTCGCCTAGTGAATCCGTGCGCTGCAGCTCGTCACCCAGCTTGATGGTGTTCTCCAGAACAACCATTTGACCATCGATGATACGAACCTGCGGCGTCACGAGTGAGCCCGCGAAAGCAGCGGACTCGGACGACACCGACAGCGAGTGTACGTGATCGAGTGCGTCCATGTTTATCAGGTCCGAAGTTTCCCGTCCAGACAAATCTGCCGGTTGACTTGTATCCACCGCGGCTTCTTCACGCTCGTGCAGCTGAGTCCGCCTACCCTTGGGTACAGTGAGGGCCAACTCGCCCATGGTCATCTCCGACGGCTCTTTCTTCATAAGCTTCTCCATCTCGTTTCGTGACATCATACCACTACCGATTCCCCTGTCAGCCGACGACACTGACGATGCTTTTGTATTGTTCGGCTTCTTACGTCCTGCGGAGTTCTGCGCACGCAAGACTATCGCCCGTGAAGCATCAGCATCCTCTGTGTCACGTCCTTTCTTGTCGTCCTCGTCCTTGCGTAAAATGGACTTAGCCCACATTGTCGCCCGCTCTCGTGCAGGCACGTAGATCTGTGAGAATAGCAACGAGCGAACAATATCAGTGTCAAACTCGTCGCGAAAAAACGAGAACATGGAACAATCACATACCTTTGTCGCCTCTTCTGGGAGGTCAAGGTCGTCTGGATTCACGTCCTCATCCCGATCGTCATCTGGCTCGCTTTCCGAATTGCTGCTGCCACCCGTCTCACGGTAAGTCGAACGCTTGACTTTTCGCTCCAACGATCGTCGTCGGGATACGCTAGTAGTACCGCTAGTCTCTACGGACGCATTCTCGTCGGCATGACGCCGCTTTCCCAATCTTTTCGTAGCACGCACAGCCTGCGCGCGAGTGGTCTTGGCAGATGGTTCACTTTGCGACTGCTGTGCATCGAGGTGCATATCAGGAACTTCTTTCAGCGACTTGCTCCCGAGTATCAGTGGTGATGCAGATTCACCTGCTTTGCGTAATCCTTCTTGTTGCCCTTGCATCGCAGAACGTCGAGGCGACTGGTGCGGCTTGACTTCTAGTTTCCGCACAAGTCGATGAGGCAGCGATTTTTGCGGTCCCTCTGATGGCGAGCTGCCAAGACTTACACCACGCGAACGCCCTGTCGGTGGCATCCCAATGCTACCCGCACGTGGGCGCATCACAGGACTTGCTTGGTATACCGGTCCAGCTGACGTTATCTTTGCAAGCCTTTCATCACGGCGCTGCACTGGCAGTACCGAAGGCGGAAGCACAGTGGCTTTCTGTTCTGTATGCAAACCCGCTGACGCTGAGTTGGACGGCAGTGTCGCAGACAATGAGCCACCAACCGCAATCTCGCCAGCTCGTCGCGTCTGCACACCAGATGATCGTACCGTGGCAGTAGAAGCACTGATCGTTGCAATCGCCGCACCTTTGCCAGCTCTCTTCGACTTCACTACTGTAGTTGATACCGTCACGGATTCAATAGAACTTGCACACTTCAAATCAGCTCCTCGGTCTTCCGCAATGGACAGCTCAACCGACTCCACTGTGCTTGTGCTCGCAATCGACACTACCTTCGCTCGTCGGTCAGGGCACTTCCTTGCAGCCACATCGGTCTGTAAGATACATATCGGCAGTGCATTAAAATCCGAATCTTTGCACCAAGTTGTTCCTCGACGTGTAAAAAAACCAGTCGACACTCAAACTCGCACCTCTGGAACCTTTAGCATTGGACCATCAACTTCCAGGACTTTTCCATCGTCTGCGGCCGCAATTCGGTTTGCTCGAGGACCTGTAAGTGGCACAGACACAGGATATCAACTATGAGAGGGACATGCTCGTCATTGTCAAGCCGATTCTCTGCGGAGTCCGAGCGGTCCACACACCGTGCGAAGGCCTTGCGCGCGGCGCGATCGACACTCGAGACGATCTGCGGCCCTTGCTCTTGACCAGAAGCGGGACGCGCGATGCCGACGCCATGCAGAGGCAGTGCGCTCGCGAGCTGACACTCGAAGCTTTCCGCGTGGACGGTGGTGTCCGGTCCCGCTACTGATTGGTGGATATTCGGAACAAGAGGACGGGGGGTCCATATCGTATCACAATTGGCTGAAATACGCTGCGGTATTGGCGAATCGCAGGCACGTGCAGAAGACCCACGGCCAATTGGTGGTTAATGGACACCCAGTCACGTATATATTTACCCTCCCCCCACCCAAAATTACACGTAAAAATACCGTTGACGGCCAACGCGTGACGACGAGTCAGTCGACTCCATCTCTCTCTCTCTCTCTCTCTCTCTCTCTCTCTCTCTCTGACGGACGACGGGTCATGGCGGACCCTGTGGCCCGAGCGCGCGAGATCGCCGCGCGTTTGGCGGCGGCTGCAATTCCAGGTGGCGGTGACGCTCTAGGCAAGCGCAAGAGCCGTTGGGAGGTGCGTCGTCTACTTGCTGTGCGCGTACCTGGTGCAGTAGTTTACTGACGGTGGTTTTTTTATCTTACGGTCATTTTTCGGGAATTGGTTTGTGTGGTGACTAGGGTGACGGTATGTTTTGGTGTTGACGTTCAGTTTTCAGTGTGGCTTCGTAGTTTACGGTACATATGTACGTGAATATGGTAGTCACATAAGTGGGGTATATTGTGTCTGTCTCATGCGGCAGCGGACAGCGGCGCACGACCTGCGCCTGGATTGGGTGACAAGAAGTGCAAAAAAGTGTACATTCCAGTCGACCGGTATCCAGACATTAACTTTATTGGGCTGCTAATCGGTCCCCGCGGGTCCAACCAAAAACGCATGGAAGACGAGACAGGTGCACGCATTTTGATCCGTGGTCAGGGATCGTCAAAAGACCCAACGGGTGATCCGGACGAGAACGAGGAGCTGCACGTGCTCATTACCGCCGACAGTGACGAGGCACTGGCGAAAGCGCAGAGTGCAGTAGAGGACATTCTTTTTAACCCGCAGCAAGCTATGAAGCTCAAGCAGGAGCAGCTCCGCAAGGTGGCAGAGCTCAACGGCACATTGATTGACAATTATGGTGGCGCAAGACCTGGAGACGGAGATGGTCACTCGAGCAGTGCAACCGGCAATGATTCGACGAAGTATGGACCTGGCAATGATGGCGACTCGTCGTCGGTTGATATGAAGGTGCCACGTGATCTCGTCGGATACATCATCGGTCGTGGTGGGGAGACCATCCGTGATTTACAGATGAAGAGTGGTGCGCACATACAAATAGTTCGTGAAGACGAAGGAGCGCCGCCGACGCCCGATCGTTTTGTGAACATCACGGGTAACCCAGGCTCTCTAAGCTTGGCACAACAGCTTATCCAAAACCTCGTTGACGAGCGACAGCAAAATCAAGGTACCGGTGGTGGTTTCCGCGAGCGTGACGATCGGGATCGAATGGCGCGTTACGGCGGCATAAACCCTGATGGCACGGAATCAGTGGAGATCTTGGTTCCCAACGAGCGTGTGGGACTTATCATTGGACGTGGTGGCTGCACGATCAAGGCTATCCAGCAGCGTACTGGCACAAGCGTTACTATTCCGCAGACGCCAGATCCGAACCATCCTGAAATGCGCCTTATTACGATTCGTGGTACAATGGAGGCAAAAGAGGCCGCGAGGTTTGAGATTCAGTCTATGGTCAACGAAGAGCCGGGGCAGCGTCAAGGGTTCGGTATGGCTTCGGGTCAAACCATATACATGCAGGTACCTAATGACCGCGTGGGCGTCATTATTGGCAAGCGTGGAGAAACGATCAAGGGTATTCAGGACCGCCATGCTGTGCGCATTCAAATCCCACAGGTGCCTGACCCGGGCTCGAATCCACCAGTGCGCACTATTTCCATTCAGGGTCCGCCGCACAATCTAGCAGGTGCAAAGGAGGAAGTGGATGCGGTGATTTTGCAAGGAATGAATGGTCACGGGTATGATGGCGGGGGCGGGGGCCAGTATGGAAGCGATAGCAGTTACGGTGGGTCCAGAGGTTTTGGAGGACAATCTGGAGGCTACGACCAGCAACAGCAGCAGTACGGAAGTTATGGAGCACAAGGCCAGCAGGACCAGTACGCTTCGTACTATCAGCAACAAGGCCAGCCGAGTCAGTATTATCAGCAGGATGCATCAGTCGTTGGAGCGACAGGAGAAGCTGCTGCGGGAGGAGACCAGGCCGCGGCACCAGCAGCTACAGCGGACCCGAATGACCCGAATGCGTACTGGAATGGCTACTACGAGTACGCAGCGTACTACGGCGTGGACGCTGCGAATGCCGCTTGGGGCGTGACTGGTGCTGCAGCGCAGGCTAGTGCTGAGGCATACCAGCAGTATCAGCAGCAGGTTGATGCGGGCGGCAGTGGTGAGTCTGTTCCCACTGCTGCTCCGGGGGCTCCTGGTGGCGCTTCCACCGCGACTTCTTCTACCACTGATGCGTCTGCGCCTTCGGCGACAGGTAACAGCGGAGCTGACACGACATCTGCTGCTCCCACGGGTGCAACGACACAGGTTTGTTTAGTGCGTGTGAAGTGTATTGGCTAGGCTTGTTGACACTGACTTTTGGTAACGGGGTGCTCGTTGGTCGACAGAGTTAACAAGTCTTTCCATCGCGCTGTAAACCTGCGTCGCTTCGCATGCTGCGAGAGTCGCGGTCGTTAGCAGGCCGAGACAGCAGGGACAACGGCGGTGTTTTGCTGATGGTTTGTTGTTGATGATTATTTGCCGGTCTTGTTCCGATATGGTGGTAGGTGGTTGATGGTCCTCGTGGTACTGTTATCATTGTATTGCTGCACATAACTCAGGACTTCCTGATTCGGCATACGACTCTACTTTTCTTTGCACTGCGTCGCAACACTAGTTTTCGTTGATGTTATCACAAGTAGAACTGGTCTTGACCATTTCTGCGCGAGTTTAAAGCAACCAGGTGTTGAGAGCTGTAGTTTGGGTGGTATGATGAGAAGCTCATGTGCCACGTATGGGAATAGGTATGTGACTAATGGCTAAGCAGCGAAACGAGAAACGTGGTACGATTGGTCCGTGATTACACTGTTGTTACAAAACAAACGATGATTCCAGCTTGAAGATGCATCAGAAGCCTACAAATAGGCTCATCGACGGACCACAGAAAGTTGCAAACTTGTAGGCAAGCTGTTGACATGTAATATGTTGGATGGCAGGTACAATGCGACGTTATTCGATTGTAAGTGCGTCAATTGGTAACGACAGACAAAAGCGGGAAAAGAATAGGCGGTAGTTCGATATGCATCCAAGTCAAAGCCAGTCTCCGATCACTTTGCTTGCAAATGTGGAGATGTGCAGCTCATACCGATGTAATTCATCGATTGTAAACAAAAGCAATGTAGAAGTCTGGTCGTAGCATACATTGCACTTTCTTACACTGAGTACTACCGACATGTACGTAGACAATCTCGCGTCACGAGAGTGTAACACATTGTGATGCGCGCTTCCACGTTACCGAAGAATAACGTGACGCTTGCCTCACGCTTGTGAGAGAAATGTGCTAGATGCAATACTATCGTAGAAATCCTCGCTTGCGCGTCAAGGCTGCCGACAGTCATGTTGGTCATTGATGCGCACTGTAAGTAGTGTGCAAAATGGAATCGCAGGGTCTCAGTGTAGCTGAGAAGGTGTACAGTTGTGCTTAACAGACGAGCAACTGTACAGCCGACTTCGTACTATACGAAGTAATACACCGCTCATTCGTGTCCGAATCACAACATCTGGTCAAATGGCCAATACCACTCCATTTCCATCTGTTTCAGTGATATCGTTTAGGTTCTTCTTCCTGGTCCATCACTTTTTCATTTTGCAAGTGCCCAGGCACTTCTCTTTTGTTCCGCTACCGTCTAAGCTTGCGCTATCCTAAGGTCATGTTTGCGATAAATGGACAAAATACAAACTCTTGCGCCTCTGAAGCACGGTGGTATGTGTCATCAGCGCTGAACACTTCGATCGACGCGCACCGTCGTTGCTTCGATGTTGATAAGTCTTGCCCGGACATGGACCCAGTCGCTAATCGATACCCACATATGATCTACCGCCGAGACAGGGCAAAAGAGCATACATAGCAACTCAAGGCTGCGGTCGAACAATATTTCTCCTCCACGATGGGTACCTCTTGGCAACGTCGTCATCGACTTTGCTGAAGATGATAAATGAAGGCGGGCATCCGATGCGTTTATATCCTTCGTCTGTTCTAGTATGACGTAGAAGGCTTTCGTTCTTTTGTCCATCATGTACCACCTGTATGTAGCGTAGACAAAGTCTTGTGTTTGCTGTACCAGTTGCTACCTTTCCAAGGTCATGGATGAAGGCTACGGTCGATGTGTGCTGTCGTACCCCTCGAACTTGCATTCCGGTTGCGCTTTTTCCGACACTCAAGACTGCACACATGTGCCTAGCCCTCTTTGAAACGGCAACCGGACCTTTCACTGACACAGTACAAGCTGTTTACACTGATTACTGTGTAAGCAGGTGCCTCGAAGCTACATGTACATTGTGCGTGCAGCGGAAGGAAATCTTATATACGAACACAATCGGAAGCAAGAAGGAGAATTTGATTCGACCGATAGCAAAATGACTGATTAAGCCTACTTTGTCTTACATTGACCACAAAAACTACAAGTCCCTGGTATAGCTACCTGCTCACCACCCATTGCGCGCGTCCGACAGGGAATGCCAGCACACTTAGTTGACGAAAACAATGGCCTGTACTAAACAATGGTGGAGCAATGCCGAATGTTACTATCGACGGTTAAAAACTCCAAATTGACTGTGTAAGGTAAATGAATATCGGAGAACATGATCAAGTGCGACAATTGTTCTCATTGATCCATGTTCGTGTCAACGACATGTTACGGGCTCACTCGGTTGCATTGAGTTGGACAAATCGATGGCGAAACGTCTGTGCGTACACGGCTTGGTATTTGTAGAAAGCCATACGTAACGTAGGGACCACAGAAGAGCAAGAAATGGCAGAATGAGAGGCGGTATCAATCACGGGCTCGTCACCGATTCATATGTTCGATCGTATCCGATGATACGGCGCACCATGTTGCAGTCACGAATCAGCCAGCTTGCCGAGAAATCGAGCGCAACGAACGGCTAGTGGTGTCGCGGGCTGAAAGCAGAGTCTAGATACTGAATGTCCGGCACGCGTGTGCTCAGTCAGATACGAGGCAAGTGAGACGATCAGTGACCGAAAAAAGCGGACGTCATCACAACATACGATCCAGCAACCTGATGGACGCTCATCTCTCCTTCTGTATGGGAATGCGACTTTACTCAACAACACGCCGCAAGATGATGTGTTGAGTCTGTCACATACCGTACAGATTACAACAAACTTTAGTTGATCGATTGTAGCGGATTGCTGACTGCAGTGAGGCTACAACAATCACCAGCTTCTACCTCAACAGGAGTAGTATCATGCAGCTCACTACTCTCTACGGTCGTCAACGCTTCACCTCCTCGACCGCACACTGCACCAGCCCTCGCCATCATTCACAGACGGTTCAATCACGCAGCGCTTTCATCTTGGCAATGATAGCAGCACCCATCGCTTTCGTGCCAACCACAGCAGACTGGTCCTTCGTCAGGTCGCCCGTACGCAAACCGTCCAGAAGCACCTGCTCCACAGCCTTCTCAATCAGCTGGGCCTCCGTCTCCATCTGGAACGAGTATCGCAGCAGCAACGCAGCAGACAAAATCTGTGCGATCGGGTTGGCAAGGTCCTTGCCCGCAATGTCAGGCGCTGTTCCGCCAATGGGCTCGAACAAGTGCACTTTGTCACCGAGACTGGCCGAGGGCATGAGTCCGAGCGAGCCTGGCAACACCGAAGCTGCATCGGACAGGATGTCGCCGAACATGTTGCCAGTGACGATCACATCAAACTGCGACGGATTTTGAATCAGCTGCATCACTGCGTTGTCGACGTACCTACAAGCAATCCACTACCACGTCAGCCACAGCGCCTACTCAATATTTTCCGCCACAACGCAAGCTACTTGCACAACTCACATAAAGTCCAGCTTCACTTCCGGGTATTCCTTGCACACGTCCCTGGCAACCTTGCGCCATAGACGACTGCAGTCCAGGACGTTTGCCTTGTCCACAACCGTCAGTCTCTTCGAGCGCTGCAAACACAACGACATCAGTATACATCTCTTTTCCAAACGCAGTACGGCTCTCGGTTCGAAACAAAGCACACTACAAAACAACGTACGCCCATTGCAGTCTCAAAAGCAAACTTCATGGGCTTAGTAATCTGTGGTGCACCGTCCGTCCGTGTGTCAGTCAGTCAAGCACACACAACAACAGCAACAGCAACAACAACAACAACAACAACAACCCATCAGTGCCAGAAATCCATTCCACGAGCAACGTCATGTCCCGCACCTCCGCCTCCGTGTACTTCATCACGTCAACGGCCGTGTCGCCGTTCGTGCTGTGCTCGCCAAAGTAAATGCCCGACACGAGTTCGCGGACAATGACCATATCCACTCCGTTCGCAATGATACTGGGCTTCAGAGGCGACAGGTCCGGCAGCATCGAGTAGATCTTGGCCGGCCGAATGTTCACTGCCAGCTGAAAGTTCTTGCGCAGGCCCAGCAGACAGTTCTTCTCGGCGTCTTTCCACTTGGGATGCTCCTGCGCGTCCGTGGGGCCCCCCACCGAGCCAAAGAGCACGGCGTCCGACGCAGCCACCGTGTCGATCGTGGACTGGGGCAAGTGCACCTGGTGCTCGTCATACGCCGCGCCGCCACACAGCGCGTGCGTGAACGAGAAGCTGTGCTGGCACAGCTCGCCAATGGCCGTGAGCACGCGGACCGCCTGGTCGCACACTTCCGGGCCAATGCCGTCGCCGGAAAGCACTGCGATTTTGTATGTCTTGGGGCTCATGCTGCCAAACGGTGGCGACTTGCGAAGCGATGTCCGTCCTTCGTGTCCAATCAAATACTGACGTTAAGATGGCCACGTACGTCTCTGCTGTTTGCGCAAACGCCAGGGGGGATGGGCTGCTGAGGGGCGTGTCGGTGTGGGAAGGGGTGTGAGCAACACCAATCGGTAGCCCTAGCAGCTGCTGGTCTTGAAGGCGGAGCGCGACAGCGGAGCTGCGCTATGCGGGAATACAGGATACGCACGCACGCACGCACGCAAGCGGAGCGAAGAGAGAAAAACGCTTTTTTGCGCACTGCGAAGGCGGGTGTTGGCCAAGTTGGCGAGTTTGCGACTCAGCGACGCTGGCGGGCACTGTTCTTCGAATAGCGAAAGTGATGCTGCACGGCAGTGTCGCTGTTGTTTGGACATTGGATAGAGCTACTTTTTATTCGTGATGAAGCAAACCGTCTGTTGAGCAACCGCGTTGGCGCAAATCGCTGGTCGATCACGTTCGACTGTTGCCAGTGCGTGCGTACAAAACTTGATGGGTACCGGGTATTGCTCGTCGCTAATCGTTCCTCAATATGCCTCACTTTTACTACTACAAAACTTGATGGTTTGAGCACATTGCTTCGTGCTGAAGCAGTGAGGGTGCGAACGTGTCGAGCGATGAGGCATCCGCTACCAAGGACTAGATGCGCGACGGACGAGTCTGTGCTCATCATTGTTCTGAGGCCTTCATGCTCGGCGGCGTAAACACACTCAGGTGTGGAAGAAGATCGACGCGATTTGCCCGAAGTGTTTATGCCCACCTCGATTCGTCACGCGTGGGCTGTCCACTCGATCGCAGTGCGCAAGACGAGTCAGACACGAAACTGCTGAGGTGAGAACTCGGTTGACGAGGCAGCAAGAACTGGATGGGCATGAATGCTGTGCATAACTGGAACGTAAAGGCAGACGACCACCTCACTTACTGCCCGCATGTGTGGCCGCCACCGAATCTCGCTGCAAAGATTCAAGAGTGAAGCACGGGTGCATCGAGTCAACGCGTACATGATCTCCATGCTACCGCGATTCGAACGAGCTACAGTCGTACAGCGCGACAAGTCCTCGATACCCGCCACCTGGACCCAGTCGCGCGACTCACCCTGTTTACTCGATCAAGCTACCTCACACCAATGTCATTCTCGCAACATTGTCAGCTCGCTGCAAAGTCTTCGTCTATATCGTGGTCATCGACGCTGCTGTTTTCTCTCCTCTATGCATTGTACCTCCATTTTCGTCACAAAGTCCTGTCACTCACCACGCTGTATCCCTACATCGATGAACACTAAAGAAACAAAGACATTCTGCATGCATCGTCGTCAAACACCTTACGTCCTTGCGAGTCGACGCACGCGATAGCCTGTACGGCACATGCGTCTTTGTAGCATCATCTGTCAAATGGTGAGCGCAAGAGTGGTGTCTCAATGGGTTGTGCTTCGATTGGTATGTCCGTAGAGTTGCCAATGTCAAGTCGCCTCTGCCTTCCCACTCATGCCTTGCGTCAATGATAACTTGACAGGCAGAAACGATGAGCCACAATGTGGCGAGATGCCGATAGGTGAGGGAGTGTTTGATGTTTGCCCCACGCCGAATATCACAGCGCGAAACGAAGGCGTCTCACTTACGACTTGCAAACGTCATCAGCATTGCCACACACACACACTTCTGCTTTAAGAGGATGGGTCACGAAAAGTGTTTCGACAAAACGAGGGAACGGAGGTAGTCTTTGGTGTGATCTGGATCCTCTTTTCGTTACCACGTCTCGAGTGCATCGAAGATAGCTCGAAGGTATAGCTGGAGCATACTGCAAAGCGAAGCCACGAAGATTTTGTGTGTGAAGTATATTAAAGTACGATTGCCGACTTAGAATATCCGTTCGACTGCAGCCTATACAGTCGTCCCTCCATATAGCGGACCAAACTGTGTGGCGTCTTTGCCTCGTTCCTTATATAAATCGCTCTTATATGGATAAGTAACATTAAATCTCCGACCTCACTTCAATAACATATTGAATGTATTGACCAATAGTGTGAGCCTAGTGATATAAAACTCTTTTTTGGGGAGTCAAATTGCACAAAGGCAATATTTATAACTAATCAGAGAGCAGATGGACAACTACAGCTCTCTCAGCTACCTCTCCGACGTATCAGGTCGGAGAGAACAGTGCTGTTATGATTATCACTATACAAACACCAAGTCATTCGCATATTTTATAAATAACACTCAAGCTCCGACATCTCCGACAAAAGGTAACTCAACCGCATATTATACAAACAACATCCAAGCTTTAACATCTCCACTGAGGATGAGTCTGACCGACCTAGCACCTGCCAACACAAAGCATGCCCGTGAGAACGCAGCGCACTCATTTTTAGAGCTCCTCGAGCAGGAGGAGGTTACTTGGGAGTACCTGCAACAGTGCATGCAGCGCGAGAGGGCACATCTCGCACTAGGAGCTGTGATGGACAAGTTTGGCATGTATCTCGCGTTCGAGGAAAGCCGAAAGGGACAGCTCTTAGCTCGACACTCGGTCATGCATTACTTTCGACAAGCCAAGAATTGGCTGCTGGAGCAGTTCCCACAGCATCGAGCAGTGGTTGAAAAGAATTTGCTCAAGAAAGGACAGACACTCGAACGCCATTGCATGAAGCGTGAGTCAGGGTCGTTTGTAAACAAGGCCCCAGCATGCACAAAGTCTGCTCTCAAGAAAATGATGGCATACTTGTATTCAACTGCAGTTACTAGTGCTGGCTACCAAGATGCGGCGCTGTTGTGTTTGCTTTGGTACCTCTTTGGGCGTGCATTGGACCTTACAATGCTGCGGAAGGCAAGCCTGTCTATCGGCTCGGGCGACATATTCTTCGTTTGATTTATCCGAACTAAAACTTCTGAAGAGCAAGGTCTTTCAATTTTCCTTGACGAAGACTTCACCACATATCCTCTGCTTGCCATAGCTCTCGCCCTCGTGACCCACTCATCGCCAGCTATATCCGTGCTGAGTCAACTTCCTGAGCAGATGGCTATCTCACAGTCCATATTAGCTCCAGCAACTCCGCTCATCCATTTGCTCGATCATCCAGAGGCTGTGGTGTCTTCGCAGGATATATTATCCACCGCTGCTAAGAAGGAAAACAGCACAGATAACGCTACTGGTGTACACAGCTACGTCAACCGTATTCTTGATCGGGTCGCTGTAAAAACTGGCGTATCCGAGCGCTTGACATCTTACTCTTTTCGGCGCGGAGGGGCGCAGCATGCGAATGGGGCTGGATTGTGTGTACAGTGGATCTTCGACCGAGGCGCCTGGAATATGACAGCGACGAATAAGGCCTTCGCGTACGTCTTTAATACGGCTTCCGAAGACCATAAGGTTGCCCGTGTCTTGAGTGGGCGACACCTCGATACCGACGTATTTATCCTATCACTTGGTGTCTTCGACTCCGGTACGCAGACAAAAATATAAACTGTTGCGACAGCGCTCTTCAATGCATCTCAAGGGCTCAAGACTACACAATACAACGTGAGCGAAAGAGTGATTGAAACGCTTATCACTTACCTGTTGATTCATTATCCATCGTTGAAGCAGCTAAAGAAAGACGGACTTGTAGTCACACGTTTGGAAGCGTGTGTAATCCAGTAAGGTTACTCCGTCAGCGAACTTCTAGCTTGGTCTTCACATCTGACCTGCTACACGAAGACAAATGTGCCACCGAATCCCATCAATGCTTCAGACAGCACGATCGACATCACAACGCATCCAATATATCTTCGTCAAGCTTCATTGATTGAACAGTTAATCAAGGTCAACCAAAAGCTCGAATCTCGCGTCTCGATGATTGAAGCTGAGGCCTATAACAAAGCACAACCAAAATCTACACCTGAAAGAAGTGAGGGTAAAGGCAAAGAACCACCAGCCAAACGTCGCCTAACGAGCTCGTCAACAAACCTGAAGGACGTCTGGTTCTTCTGGTATATCCAGGAACCCCTCCTCTGGGATTCGTTTGATAGCTCGAGCAAGCACACGAAATCCACCGCCAAACTTGTCGCTGCATTCATGAAACTGTTTCTTGCTGTTGGCTTCGTGCTTGACGAGAAGTCTCCGCAGTATCGAGACGATGTGCTTATATTAGGCAATGTCGCTGATATGCAGTTACTTTCGTTTCTTGGCGAGCACAACATCAAGGCCCGCGGAGCACAAAACGTCCTCAAGTCCATGCGCAAGCTACACAAAGCTGGTCATCTAAGCAAACACATCCAATGATACAGACAACTTCAAGCAGCCGAGCGCATTGTAGATCCAGCACCTGCGCATACTACAAACATCATCGGATATATTATCAACCCGCAGTACCCATAGATGTTGGTCTTCACGCCATTGTATACATGCTGAGTGATTCCGCACTAAAGAAGGAGAAATACAACAAGTACATATTATCAAGATCGGCGAGACAATTCAGCTCGTCCTTACTCTCATGATACAGCGTATATACAGCATAGTACAACAATCTATTTTACCCTTTATCATCGAGATCAGCTCGCTCAAAATGTTCTTGGACATGACAATATCGTATCACGATGTACACCATTTACGCACGGGAAACATGTCATCCGGGTAGCACACGGGCGGCATGTAGTCCACCATGTAGCTGCTTACCTGTCATTGAATACAACATAACGATCAATGCGCAGTCAATAATGAGCGTATAAATACACGTGGACACGGGTGCACGTACGCAGAAAACGCGTTGTGCACCATTTACTCACGGGAAACAGGTCATCCGGGTATCACACGGGCGGCATGTAGTCCACCATGTAGCTGCTTACCTGTCATTGAATACAACATAATGATCGATGCGCAGTCAATAACGCGCGTACGAATACACATGGACACGGTTGCACGTGCATATACATTGAAGTCTCATCATTTACAACTCGTCCACAGTCCACGTGTCGTGGTAAATTGACACGTTGGCACA